TAAGTATGTAATTGAATTATATTTTTTTGCAACAAATGCAGGTTATTTAAGGTTCTATTAGGCAGTGTTACCTGAGGTAAACTACAAGCAGAACATATTTGTGAAATATTCTCCCACATTAAAAGTGTAATTCTCCACTTCCCATCACAGCATCCAACAATCTGGAAAATGCTCTCCACATATTAAAAGCTCTCAATATTTTTTTCTATTATGTAATTTTACAGTTTCCACTAATATCTCCACAGCTTTTCCATTACCTGGAATAACCACTGGAATCAACTTTGTTGGTTTACTTTAATATTAGATCTCTCTCTATATTGTGTACTGTACTAAGATTGTAAGAACTAAGTTTCTTCAACCTGTCTTCACATTTCATTACAGTAAGAGTGGAATGAATTTTGTTGCACTTCTCTGGATTTTTGTATACCTGTATGAAGGGCTCTAGATGTGATCTAACTAATGCATTGTACAGTTTTACCCTGTCTTGATTTGTATACTACATTCTTTACTAGAGTATGTAACCTATCATTCCATTTTACACTCCATTGCTTAGATGTTGGAAATATTTTTTTCTTTTTTCTTTTCCCCACTATGTCTTAATTCTGCACCTCACATTAACTATCCTTTATTGTTCTTACCTACGTGTAAAACCTGTTAATTATCACATATCCGTCAACGTCTGAATCATATACTGTACAAATCTTTTCTATTTACCTGACTCTGTTGTTTGCTGGGCATTATCGTAAGATTTAGATCACATGTAACTGTTTTGTAAAGGACACATCAATCAATATTTACGATATGAATATATTCTGTATACATGGAAGAGTGTCATTCTCAACACTTAGGCCATTCTCCATCTTAGATGCTACCCCTTTTGTGGTGCCTCTGTACACAAGGTGCACCCCATAGCATGTTAACTGTAATGCAATAAACCTTGTATAAATGATATTGCTGCTTCTTCAACTGATGATCAATGTTTTATTTTTAAACTTTAACATGCAATTGAACTGTCAAATCGAGGCTATATTTCTCCACTAACAAGCACAATTAATTTTAACAGTACCTTTTTCTGCAGCTTTGGAGAGGTTTATGTGCTTGAAAAACTTAGAACTTAGACCGATTATGTAATCTTGTAATATGGTGTTTCAAGTCCCAGAGCTGTCTTAAGAAATAGATGTGCCTGGATAGCATAAAATAACAAATAATAGGTTTATTCCATGCTGAAAAGATAAAGAAAACACAACTTTTTGGCCATAGAGCCCTTCAAATACGTTGAAACCGTGTGAACAGTAGATTACGAAATGTTTTGTTTTCTTCTCTTTTTAGCATGGAATAAACCTATTACTTGTTCCTTTGCAGCCTATGTATGCTGATGCAGGTACCCACTTGAACGATCATAAAATAACGTTACACTGAAGATTTCTTATACAGGCAATTCTTTAATGTTTAACACAATCAACATAAAACATACAGTAAGGTACTGATTATCCTGCAGTGGCATGGATTGGAAAGATCCCATTTTTGTATGGCCCTTCCAAAGTACAATGGCTCTACTTACTATGTCCGCCATCAAGACTGCAGAGTTTGGCCTGCATGTATACTTGCAGTATGATAAAGTTCTTGAAATAAAACACAATTTAACTAATTCATTTAAATATAAATACTTTTGAGATTGTGATATACTGTATTATTAAAATGGGATACCATTTAACACAGAACAATTTATAGAGAGCAAGAATAAAGTATATTATATTAACTACTGCTGCAAACACTGTTCCAATTGAACCTCTATGTCAAATTGACATTTGACATTGAACATCCTAATCTTTTGTCCAGTAACCTGCTCTGGCTAACACTTTACCAGACAGTGCTTCTAGGATTCTACTAGAACCCAGTACCATCTGTTATGCTGGTAGAAAGTCAACAGCTGTATGTGACAATATTCAAATTTCATTGAGGATATGCGATGTTGTGGGATTTTCTGAAATTTGCTTTTAGAGGTTGTCTCGTTACATAAGTTTTTCGGGCTTTTAAATATAAAAGCCTAGAGAGCACCTGCAAACCAGACTTGAGAAATGAATCATCTCCAGATCAATAATTTATAACCTTTCCCCAAGCCAAGTTACTTGAAAACCACTTCACAGTTCATGACACTGACATAAAAATGGGGGGAAGCAATGCATTTCACTTACTCATTTATATGACAGGATTAAAGATCAGGAAATCTACTGAGTAGAAAAATAAAGCAATGATTAATAGTGTATTCACAGAAATGAAAAACTTAACTGTGGGCATCGCAGCTTATTAGTCACTTTAAGCTGTGCACACCAAATATAAATACCACGTATCACAGGCATTTCAAAATACGTTTTAGTTCTGATGTCTTCAATCCTGTAGAAGTAACTTCTGCCACCTTGAAAACAGTCAACATCACAAGCAGCAACGAGCTAAACGTAAGATAGAAGAATTCTTGCGGAACTTCAACCTATTCTAAAGGGCGTAGCGTCAATATCAGCCAGAAAGGGGATATAAGAATGATGTGTTCCTTCCGTTCTCGCATCCCTGTGATGGTTGGATCTGAAATCGATCAAAATCCGTTAATTAACTCAGATTACAGATTGCGAAGGCCTATCTCGGGAAAGGCTGACTGAGTAACTTATTTTTCCAGCCTTTTTTTTAGTAACCCAGTATCCTTAAACCGTGTCACTGCATATGGGAATGTTACAAATTTAACCTAGCGCCACTATTCACTTACTCCACATCTTACGGGTATTCTTCTTACAGTACTGTATGTTTTGTTTTCGAGATTATTTTTCGCTTATCTTTATTAATAATGTTATGGGAGAGACGGGTCCGAACAAATGAAGTTGTAGCATTGACGTACTGTACTAGGCAGTGGCCGGACTTTATGGTTAGATTCACTAGCAACGCTAAATTGCTGCTGGTTACTAACATCGCAAAAAACCTTATGCACCTTTAGTTCGAATGTGTTGACAAGGTGATGAAACCATCAGTTACACATTTGAAAGACGAGGCACGTTTCACCATACCAGCAATTGCTAATAGTAACTTTTCTAAGCCCCGTGTTCACTTTGAAAGATGAAGAAAATTGTTGTAATGTTTCCTTAATAAAGCTTATTTTATTAAGTGCAGAATTTAGAAAGTAAAAAAAAATGGCAAGAAAGATAACTGGCGAAAACATGAAATCCATTCCGTATTGCTGGGCGGTGGCTTTGCATCTTAAGGCATTGGTGGGACAGAGTGAATCGACAAAAGGATAAAAAGCCACATTTTCAAACGCTTTTAATGACTTTGACTAAAGACTTATACTGACTTGTAAAATAGTCATATGGTCTGTTTTTCTTTGTGCGCGTTTTCATTGTCAAAATCAGCCTAATTCGAAACTATCATCCACGATCATCACTGCTCTGAAGAGGGGCGCCTCATATTCTTTTCAGAAATATTTAAAACCCTTTCAAACATTCAAATAAGACCTTTTAACAAAATATCCTGTAGCCTAAATCACTTACTAGTATTCTGACCTTGGACGCTGGTATTGTTTACGTGCGTGGACGATTCCTTAACTTTTACGCTAAGGTGTATGGAGTACTCGAGAGAGGTCATTGAATTCATACAGTATCAATAGCAAAGACAGTTCATACGTACTGTATACTATATCATGTAGTGTTCAGCATAAATACTATTTTTGAGCAACATGGATAGATGGAGAGCAGTAAAATGCAGGAAACAGTCATACTTTCCAATACCTTATACACAGGTACTGTACGTATTGTATAATTGTAGATTTAAATTTGTGGTAAAGGAAAGGCTGGTTCACAGATCAACCTTGACAGAATCAAAGAGAGAATCGTTCCTGAGCCGCCCAGAAAAATAAAAGCTTATGCTACTACGACCCCAAGATGCAGACTGCTGCAAATACCATATTCAGGTCAGCGAAGAATCCATGTGGAATGCCAACAATTTAAACCATAAAAACAAATAAAAGGGTAAAAAGCTACCAATTAAACCCTCCAAATGAATGCCCATAAAGCAATTATCCACACAAGATAAGAGGGTTTCAATGCATATATTAAATAACAAACAAAAGAGTAATTTCAGTTTCTACAAAATGTACGGAAGATACCGAGAATCCCATCTCACACTAGTTTCAGTGATAGTGCCTTCCTTCACATTTTTAAATTGTCTATAACAATGCACAGTATCTTACATGTCTTATTGTGGTTATTTAAGAACTTAACTTAAAAGTTTAATAAATTGCTGCATGTCATCATTATAAATGAAATGCATCCATTTAATGCACCGTAAATGATGGAACATCCTGATGCTCAATGTGTAAAGCCCAGATCCCGTTGCAGTTAGCATAATGTTAATGCGCTAGTTAAGTAGCAAACACAACCTATCCTTTAACAACGCTTCATTAAAATCTACAACCAGCAAAAAGAAAAAAATACTCTCATCACCCGCAAACAAAAAATGTAAGTTTTTTTATAGATTTTTCCCAAGTTAACATATAACCATTTTCATTTTTACTGCTTTCGCCTCTGAGATTTGATTTTTTTAAACTAGGAAAATACTGTATCCAGTATCAGGGGTTCACCTCCATTTTAATATAATCGTCCAAAGAAATGCTCTGATAACTTGCTTAATTTCAATTACTTAAAATGTGATTAGCGTTAATACATGCTACGCAATGCTTAACTGCTTAATCTTATGCTTTTGTCTTTTGCGAAATAAGAACATTCCACGTTATTTTGCTTTTAATTACGATGATGTTTTGGGAGCCTGCAGCCTAACAAAATGCATTTTTTATCAAATGAAAACATTAGAATTGTCATTCCATCACATCTTAAAGCATTCGTTATAAAATACCCCTATACCCTCTCGCATCCAACGTGCAAGGATTATAATTGGAAAAGTCTGAAGAGTCTGGCCAAAACCTATATCGCAAGTCGTTTAACTTTAAAGTTTTACTTTACCTTTTAAAACGATCCCACAGAAGCTGTAAAGAATAAGTAAATGCTGCTTGAGAATCATTCTTCTCCTTTCCTTCAGCTAAGTGAGCTGGCAACTCGTCTCGCTTCTTTTCCTTATGAAGACTGTGGTGTATCCAGGTGAGGCGTGCAATTTAAACAGTGGAGAATTATACGCTCCTGTGCGAATGGTGATGTTTGTCAGGTCCCACAGTTCTCCCGATCCTGGCGCTGAGACACCGTTACTGTGACTGCTTGCTAAGAGATGCTCTTGCTATGAAACAGAGAAGTGCAGTTTCAGCCTCCCTAGCCCAGGAGCCGCAGCAAACCGAGTCCCGCCTACGTATTTGACAGATGAAGACGCTTCACCAATAGCGGGCGCCTACAAATATTCCACGAGCTGTGGCTTTGGAAACCGCTGGGCGAGAGAAACCCAGGGAAAACAAAGAGCAGGCACTGAGCTGTTCGCGGAGATTGGCATGCACAATGTCCAATTCAAACTCGCCTTTGCGCTTGATTATCCAGTAATTTCAAGGTAAAGGCAACCGTCCAGTATCGGATCCTGTGAGACTTATTAGCAGGTGCTCCGCCTTGTTATATGGTTGCTGGCAATTGTAACCCAATCAGAAGCGTTGAAGTTAAGATTAGCACGGTTAAAATAAAGATTCCCCTTCTTACTTGGGAAGGACAAGTGTGTTTCTGAAAGGACAGTGACAGCTCACGCTGCTAGAGGAACCAAACCTTGAATTCAAAGTTTATTCAAGTTTACCGCTCGTTTGCCTAAAGAAACAGCGTGTACCGTAAATTAAATTACACCTCATATCATGCGATATTTACTATTTACTGAACTCTCAGTATTTGATTTGCCTTTCCGCCCACAGTATTACCACGTACAGTAAACAGGTACCTTGCCCTTTGTTCACTTCGGAACTCTCACGATGTCATAGTGTTCTGAACAGTTAAACATTTTCATTTCTGAAAGCGCACATAGTTTAAAACATGTTCGGTTGTAAAATTATAGATAGATAAGACTTTATTGATCCCGAAGGGAAATTGATTATATACAGTATATATACACACAGTATATAACTTAATTTGACTTTATCTAATCTGAATTATGGCAACGTAAAAAAAATTAATGCTTTAGCAGCACAATTGAACTCAGATCTAAATTGGTGTAGCGTTGACAACCGCCTCCCTTTCTCTTGGACTTTTTTTTCTACCCCACATTTACTCTTGAGTAAATTGGACCATAGCTCATTGTTATTCCTACTTTAAGTGCGTCTATTATTGTATATCTACTGTATACAGAGATGTACCCACGGTAATATGATTGTTTATAGACAGTTACAGATGGGTCCATTCCACTATGGCGTTTGGAAAAACAAATTAATCCAAGTGCGATAACACATGGTCACAGACTGTAATGTTAAGTATCGATAGATCCATGGCTTTGGCATTTTGGTATGAGCACAACACGTGTTTTATTACTTAGTCTTAACTTATAACACAACCTTTCTCAACTTTTATCCAGGTAATTGAATACATGCGTCTTTTCTGTCTGCGTAATGGTATGGAGAACTTTACCACTGGTAGGGAAATGTTTAATGTTTAAAAAAGCATTTTCATTCAGTTTCATGAACGGCTGTTTGTTCTTAAACTCATACAGTTAGTAACTCTTTCAAAATTCCTCTTTAGTATTTTCCTGCAGCATTTTATCAATCCAGTATAATCCGTTAAACTGTCAGTTTAACTTTTTTCTTTCTTGCAGTACTATTCTAGGCAAACATTGGAACTTAAATTTACTAAGTTACAGATTACGTATTTTGGAGAAAAAAAGAAACAGTATCTGTGAACTCTGAATGCAAATTTGCCAATTCACCTTTAAAACAGTTTATTGAAAACCGGTTTTATATTCCCTTAAAATATACTTCCTTGGCTGAGCTTCTGGCATTTGCTGACTGATTTGTAAAATGACAAGATTTGATCGTTGCTAATTTTATTATTGTCTATGTAAACGTGTGTTAGTACTCTGCATATTTTTGTTTTCAAAACACTATATTCTTTAGTGAAAAGTCACATTCTATTTCATCAGGATAGATGTACAGCAGAGGTGATCAGAAAGAAGGGTCAGATTTGTGAAAATTTCTACATCTTATAAAACTAGAAAAACAATGCAATGTGTTGCAAAAAGAAAGCAATGAAGTTCTGTTCTGATTTTTCCATTTTATACATGTTCCAGAAGGTAGAGTTTTGCACTTTACATTACAGGAAAAATCATCTGAAAATGCACTATAAAGACTTCATTGTCTTTGTTGTTTTCACTGATTTATTATAAGAGATTATTATAAGTGATAAGTGATATGAGCAAAAACACATTAAATGTAAACTTTACTAGAATAACAAATAGCTTCTACTTTAGGTATAGACACTTTGTTTTTTTTTCTTATTTTGACTTTACAGCAGAAGAGCATGCACAATACTCAGTCTATAAGGTGCTTTTCAATGCTTCTTGGTAGAGAAGAAAAGGTATTTTTTACAGTTTTTTGTCCAGCAATATTTTGCCATATCAGTCCCTAATTTCACACTTGCTATTTGACCTAGGTAGTTCTCATGTTGGCATGATATCCCACCCAAGCAGCCTCTCTTCTTTTTATGTACTTGTAGAAGACAAGACCATGATATCTACAGTAAGAATATTAACTTGGTCGATACATGTTTGTATCCCAGGGGGTTGGGGAATGGTTACAGTCCCTGTCCAATTTCTAAAATATCCTGAATCCTAAAGATTTTCAATGTACTGTCCAATGCAACAGTTTTCTATTATTTATTAGACAGAATAACATTTCTTCTTTTTTCATTTTCAAGTACTTGGTGTTGCAATGTTAACATTTAAGAATAAAATGTGGATCACAGTGCAGTTTCCGTAATGTGCAATGTTTACATTCAGAGTGTTTTTATATCCTAGGCACATTTGCATATGCTTTAGGTAAATGTGTATACAAAAACAGAAATACAGCTAACTTTGTTAGTTATTTCTTTGAATTTCAAAGAAATGTAAGTTTTGGCTAGAGCCATATCACCCTGAAACTCACAACTGGCAACGCACTGAAGCAAAGCAGGTGTGAGTCTGCTCAGTACCTGGATGGGAGACCTCCTTGGAGAAACTAAGGTTGCTGCTGGAAGATGTATTAGAGGGGCCAGTAGGGTGTGTTAACCCTGCAGTCTGTGTTGGTTATAATGCCCCAGTATAGTGACGGGGAAACTGTACAGCAAAAAAACACTGTCCTTCGGATGAGACATAAAACTGTCCTGACTTTCTGTTGTCATTAAAAATCCCAGGTTGTTTCTCAAAAAGAGTAGGGATATTATCCTGGCCAATTTTCCCATTTGCCTTTACCAACCATGGCCTCCTAATAATCCCCATCTATGAATTGGCTGCATTACTCTGTTCTCCTCCCCACCGATAGCTGATGTACTGTATGGTGAGCATACTGTCTGTACTGTGGCTGCCGTCGCATCATCCAGGTGGGTGCTACATATTGGTGATAGTGGAGGGAAGTCCCCATTACCTGTAAAGTACTTTGAGTTTACAGAAATTCCTTATATAAATGTAAGTAACAACAACAATGATATGCATAATAATTATGTTTTGGTTAACAAAATGGGTGTATGTACTGTAGATGGATGTTTTGTTTTTTAACTAAAGCAAAGAAACAATGAGATATTTTTAAAAACCATATGCCAAAACATTGAAAATTCTTTCCATTTGCCATTTGTATTTGAAATTTTTGGAAGCTACATCCATGAAGTAGCCTACTCAACATTTGTCTTGGATTTCATAACTCGTTCCAGGATATTTTAGCAGATGTCTGAAGCCATAGAAATACTGAACGGCTAATGTGGTAGCAATTGCAGAGGATTTTGTGGATTTTCTCAAGCAACATTTCAAACTTGTTTGCCACTTGGAAGTTGTATTATCATCTTTAGATTCTTGAGAACGGACACTTCTGTTCCAAGAAACAGTGCAAAGGCCAACAAATCTGACTGCTTGTGCGAACACATAGTGGACAGTAAAACATCCCTTTGGCTGTACACTTTAACAGATTTTCAAGATTTTTACATTCCTGACATTTATTTATCAAAGACTGAATAGCTAGCTGAAGCTACTGCTTACTCTCAGGTTATTGCACAATTAGCTATTTTGTCATTAATTTAATTAAAGGTAAAAATTAAGTGAAGTAACTTGCTATTTTCAAAGGTTACTTTTTGAAATCTGCAGCACCGAAAACAGGTAAAAATGATCACCCACAAAAATAACTAAAATAAAAGCAAGATTTAAACATTGGCATGCTTACAGGAAGTTGACTGAGAATTTTTAAAGGTAACATTTTGATACATTTTTCCAGACAGTGGTTTCCACAGAAAACCTGAATAAAAGTCAAGTGTCCTTCAAATAGACTGCTTTAAAGGTCACCAATCAGTACAAAATAAACATGTTTCATAGGCTTCTTTAACCGATTAGAGAAGTGATCATGCAGTCATCATGCCTTAAAATGTGTAGAAATTGCTTTGTATTTAGGGAGTACCAAGCATCTCTGTGAGGAGTTCCCAATGTATTAAATATTTGAGAAACTGTCATTTCCTGAGCTGTGGTGTGGCTAGAAAAAAGTGAGTGGTAGAATTTAAGAAGCTATTTCATGTCACTAATATTTTAAAATAAGACAAACCTTCATGGCAAATGCATAGGTAGGTACTTTATTATTAATCCCATGCGGGAAATTCAAGTAATGAGATGATTTAAATATTCAAATAAAAATGCATTTGAAAATTTATTGTAAAATATATTGCAATCATTTGGTAAGTATAGTCAGGAACAGAAACTTTGGACTCAAAGACTCATGTTGCTTTGACTTTAGCAAAGTATACTGTTAGAATTTCTGTTTAAGCTTGTCTCAGCTGCTACATCAGCTTAGTAGGCAACATTAAAATCAATGATGCACAACTTTTAAAATGTTTCAGTTGTTATCATGTTGTGCAATCCAGGCTGGTGACATTAGATCCAGTATTTGCTTTCCCAAGTTTGATGGTGAAATAGGAACTCTCTCTTGTCCATATTTGGTAAACCTGCAATAGCTTTGAAAATGGGATAAACAGTTCCATTACACTGAACTTTTGATAATGTTTTTCAGTGAATGCTGCCCAGCGAATGTTTTGCATAGAAAAAAAGAGTATACAGTATATGTTAATTTTAACTTACAGGTGGAACAATTAGGTAGTCTTTTGAGACAACTAAACAGTTTTCATCCACAATCTGATATTGTATTGTACAATATGAGCTAGTTATAAGGTTTTGTACAGTGAATCAGTTTGTGTTTGTCAATCCTAGCAACTTTGATCTGGT